TGTGAGAGCTCTTTGGGAACCTTCTGCAATGCCTCTGGAACAAACCTTATTCCCTGTTTATGAAGAAAAGCTTTTTCTGCAGTTTTAAAAGACCTAAATTCTGCTTCTCTGATTCTTTACAGAGGACCGGCGATCGGCTCCTGAGAAGGACTATTGGCCTTGGCTGGGGCACATGGCAGCAAATACATGGCCCGAAAGTAGAGATTTGCTCTAAGTCTGCAGGACACCTGGACCCAGCTGAGCTTTGCTCACTGCGCTTGCGAGAATCTGCGATTTACAGAGATAATCCCCAGACATTTCAAATTGGGCTGAAGACAGACACATTTCCAGCCCATGCCATCAACTCCATTCAGCTGGAACGGGTGCCAAGCTTATGAAACCCTCCTGCCGTGTGGTAGACTCCACAGCATGCTTCATTAGCAACCAGCCGAGCAGCTCGCCACCTCCAGCTCGCCGGCATTGCAAACAGTCTGGAGATCAGAGACCCAAACCTGGGAAGCGAAGGAGGCAAGGTTTCAAAGGCAGAGGGGGATTTAGGCAGACAATGCTGGACTCTGTAAAACCTGCCCCCAGCCTCTCTCATCCTCCCTCGTTTGAGTGAACGCAGCTGTCTGTCTTTTCTAATTCAGGGGTACAATGCTGTGGCTGGAAGTGCTAGACACGGCAGGGGCAGTCTTATTAAAAACAACATCTAATAAATTGCCAAATGCCATTTATCCTGGATAACCTCCATAGCTGAAACTCTCCATATCTACGGGGGCTGCTTTGATGTCTCCTTCTGCTCTTTCAGCCCAGATGTTGTCATAGATTTGCTGACGATGACTGCAAACAGGCTTTGAAGCGCGCTCTGGCAAGAAATACTTTCCCATCCTGCCCCAGATAGGGTCTGCTTTTCTTCCCCCTCTCACATTTTTAGTACTGAGGCCATTGGGATGAATAAAGGCTCTTTGTTCCTTTAGCCATTTCTCTGCTTGCTGATGCTTTTTTTATTTTTTGGAAACTAAGTTGAAGTGACAGCGGCAGGAGTTCAATAGATGAAATAGGTCTCAAATAGCGCAGTGACGGCCAGCGCTCGGACCACTTTCAGCTGTAAACACGGACAGTGAAAAGGCGTGGGAGCCATAAGAGCCCCAGAAATACTTTCTCCCTCTCTCTTAAGCCCCAGGAAAAAAGTAAAATAATTCTACTGAGTGAGGATATTCTCAAATTTTCTCTTTGAATGCTATGGTAATGCACTCTCTTTCGGAGGAGCTGGCGCTTTACTGTAGAAGTAGCGGATGGTCATTTGTAGGACGAGAGGGAACGGCCTCAAGCTGTGCCAGGGCAGGTTTGGGTTGGGTATTGGGAAAACTTCCTCATGGAAAGGGCTGCCAGGCCCTGGCCCAGGCTGCCCAGGGCAGGGGCTGAGTCCCCATCCCTGGAGGGATTTAAAAGCCGGGGAGATGTGGTGCCTGGGGACATGGTTTAGTGGTGGCCTTGGCAGTGCTGGGTTAGCGGTTGGATGTAGTAATCTTAAAGGTCTTTTCCAACCTAAACGAGTCGATGATTCTGTGATGCTATGGTATAGATACCATAGCCCACGAGCCCCTTCGGGCGTCTCTTGCGATTCTCCGGTCTGGAAGCAGCCTGCCCATCCGGTGGTGGATGGAGAACATCACCTCCATCATCGTTTTGACAGGTGGGAGCGGGAAGGTGACGTGCCGGGGTGCGGGCGCCGTCCCCCTGCCGCAGGGAGGCAGCA